CCAGAACCCACTAGCACCCCTCCCCAGTACTGTGTCCCCTGCTCCCAAATGACTTTTCTATGGGTCAGTGACCGCTGACTCAGGGCAGGTTCCCTGCCATTCTCATAAATAAAGACAATGCAGAAACTTTTTGTGTTTAACATAGTATTCTATTTAAAAATGAAGCCTGGCCAACAAACCCCCAATTGGGGCCAAGCCCCCATATGGCCACAATCACTCCTGCATTCCGCCTTCTCCAGACCCTAGATCTGAGCCTATCAAACACTGGAATCCCCTGCCCTCAGCCCCTCACATACTCCAACCCAAATTCCTGCACACTCACATCAGCAAGCCTGTGGCTTGCTTAGTATCCCAATACTGCCCAGCCTGGAGCCCTCTCCCCCAGCCAGTGTCCCCTTCTCCCCCTCCTCCTGCATTCAGATTTCCTCCCAGAGCTTGCACCTCTCACCCCTTCCCACACCCAAATCCCTCATTCCCACCCCAGAGCCTACACATCCTGTCTCATCACAGCAAGGGTCCAGGTAGACTGCAGGAGTTTTTCAGGATTCTGGAGATATCCCAGAAAAAGTCTTCTGCATCCAGGGTTGCGTTTGTTCTTCCACTTTTTTAGTGGAAGAGCAAACAGGCCCTATATTCCTCTTTCCACAAGGAATAAGGTGGCTTCCAAAAGACGGGGGTTTTTTTCTGACATTTGGTCCAGAATGTCACAGGCCAAATGATGGAAAAACCTCTTCCTACAGAAGAATAAAAAAACATAAAATAAGCAGCAGTATAAGGATTGCGGATAGCAAGTGATGGAGAGGAGGAGAATAGAGAGGGCGGGGCTTCAAGGAAGGGGCAGGGCGGTAGCTCTTGGCTTGGTCTGTCATTTAAAAAGTGATCTTGGGTGTAAAAAGGTTGGAGACCACTGGTCTATGGAGTTACTATGATTGTCAATGTTGTCCTTGAAATTAGCATCACCAGGGCACTTTAAAAATGTTACTTTGCCCAGCATATATACTATACTTGACGTTTAGTCTTCTTCACACACAGGAGCACTGCTGCTCAAGTCACAATGGAGTCTGATACATATCTTCAGAGAAAGAGTGGATTAGCAGTAGTTATAGGAAAAACTTGAACATCTCCTTAGAAATTGTCCCTCCATATGAGTCATGTCCTGTTTGTCTAGGAATTTTACTAAGCCAGTGTGGGTTACATTTTCTCCTTCTTGAACTATGATCTGTAGCAAGGATAAGAGAAATAAACAAGAAACTCAGTCTTGGGATAAAGTTCTTAAATATGTGCTGTAATAAACCTTTTCAGTGGATGCCATTATAAAGTCAGCATTAACCACCCCAAGTGCCTCCTATATCTAGAAAAAGAGATGCAGCAGAACTGCTATCACTTTAGTGCGACAAACATTGAGTTTTCAAACGCCCAGTACTTTTAGTAATTCTAATATGAATACTCATGATGTTTCCTGACATATTTGAATTAAAAGTTTAATTCTATGGTTGTACAACATATAAAATATAGAGTCCTGGTTCATGACTAGGGTTGCTAGGCAATACAAATAATACATAGCAATAATATTGTCTGCCTTATTCTTTACACAGAGAGAGTTTTATTTGTCTTAAGCGGGAAATCTGAAGTTGCACTTTGGAAAGCGTTGTTTGCTCCAGAGTTGTCTAGTGCCAGAAAATGTTAATGTGCTATATTTGGGTCTTATTTCTAGGTTAAAATATTTCGAACCAAGCAAGAAGGAATCCTTTTAGTAGATGGTGTTTCAAACCGGACCACCAGCCCCAAGAAGGCTGATATCTTGGATGTTGTGGGAATGCTGTATGTCGGAGGATTGCCCATTAACTATACAACGCGACGAATTGGTCCAGTAAGGAAGACAGTTTAATAAGCCATTTCACAGTCTTTCAATAGGTGTTGGCCAATATCACCATATACATTTTTTCCCAAAATATAAATCAAATAGATAAAAAGATCGATCCAATTGTTCTTTAAGTAGATGGAAGGTTCTGGGTTAGAATAGTCAGTGCAAAGAACTGAAAGTAGCCCATAGTCATTACTGTGGGGAAAGGGGAAAGCTTTTAAGTCCCGAACCCTTACAATTGCTCTGTCCTGCAGGGAATTCAAGTTTAAAAATACAAGCTTCCTGTTGGGCAGGATTTTGGAATTTTAAAGGCTCCAACATAAGAGAGAGCTTGTGCGCACACAAAAGCTCAGTCGGCACCTCGGATAAAACATATCCATTTCTCTGTTTCATCTTAAACTGACAAGTATGAACTGTTTACTATGAAGTTGGCAAGTTTTGACATTTTAGTAATAAAAGTCATTCCTTTGGGGAAAAAAAATCATTAAGCATTCTAGAAAAGACCATGATATCTGTTCATGCAGATCTTGGCCAAGTTCATTGGTGAGTCCAAAACTACCTTCACTTGATACAATTCTAATTGCTATGTACTGTACCTTACAAAATACCACAGTGATACGGTGGGCGAGGTAGTCTATTTTATTGGAAGTTTGTCTCTCTCACGAAGAGAAGATATGACTTCACCCACCTTGCCTCTCCTGGGACCAACATGGCACAACAACACTGCATACAAAATACCACAGGACATAAAACAGACCTAGTGAATAAGGATTTCTTATATGAAAGATTGTGCAGAGAAAACCTGAATAAAACCAGAAGGGAGAAATTTCATTGAAATCAGTGGTCTTAAGCCAGATGCATGAGTGTTACTGGGAGCAAGCTTCAGAGGGGTAGCCGTGTTAGTATAACTGGAAAACTTAAAAAACAACTAATCACCTAGCAGCACCTTAAAGACTAACAAAACATATAAATGGTATCGTGAGCTTTTTTGGGCACAAAGAGCAAGATTTGTCCCAATGTGTCTGTGTACCTCTGTTTCCACTTCTTTCCTCAGTTCCTGCCTCCTTCCCCTTTTTCCTCAATCTCTGTGTGTTTTTGTTATTTTTCATTCACTTCTCCCTCCACACACACACCAAATGCTTGGATTTGAACCCCTTTTATGCTTCGGAGCTTGTGTTTGGCATTTGTTCTTCACTTTCCCGCTATTCTCACACTCCAGCATCAGGCAGGACAGGGATGCAACAATGTTTTTTTTGTGTGTGTACTTATGATGGAAACTATGTATTTGGTGTTTATTATTATTACTTCTAAGTTAGCAGGTACGGCAATTCCCCCACCATCCCTAGTTCCAGGATCACTGGACCAAAGGCTTTCTTCAGAGCCTTGGGTCTCCATGCTCCTGAACTTCCTGTTCCCCAAACTCTTCCAGCACCAGTTCCCCATTGAGGATATGTCTAAACTACATCCCTCTGTCAAAAGAGGGTGTAAATTAGGCAAATCGAAAGTGCAAATAAAGCGGGAATTTAAATATCTCATGCTTCATTTGCATAATGGCATCTGAACGCTTTTTCAAAAAAGGTTTTTTTGAAAGTGAAAGCGCCATCTAGACATGGTTCTTTAAATAACCACCTTTTTCAAAAGATCCCGTACTCCTCATTTTCGAAAAAGGTTTTTTTTTTTTTTAAAGAACCATGTCTAGATGGCGCTTTCACTTTCACTTTAGACATACCCTAAGTGGGCAGATTCCAAGGCCACCTTCAGGGAGGAGAGAGGAAATGCTTACACAACATCCAGCATCAAAGGAAAGAGAAATCTCATTAGATGAGAGGGAAAGTGCTGGTATGCCACACCAGCTACACAGACTCAGTGCAAACTCTGCTGTTTCTTCCTTTAAAGGTTGTCCGGTGAGCATAATAATAATAATACCTAGCTCTCATAGTGAAAGATTGCTAAATAGTAAAACTCGGATAAAGATGCAAGAAAATCCTCAAATAATTTCTTATCTATGATTGAATGATGGTCGTAGATAAGGTTATACAGAGGGCCATATGCAGCCATGAGTATTT